AATTTAAATTTTTAAACTTAATATTCAAAATTTAAAAAGGTAAGTTAGTAATTTTTCAGACAGACAATACATATTTCACATGTTCCCTTAAAAATTACACTCTCTCTAAATGACACTTAAATTAAAACGAAGGGAGTAACATTTTTCGTACACAATTATAAACTTGAATTTCGGTTGCGTGGACTCCTTGCCAACTGGTTATAAACTTGCATACATGAATGAGAGCCATCATGACAATTTGAAATAATTTATTGTAAAAAATGGCTACAGTAAATATTGTTTTTGTTTATCAAATTTAATGAATGACAACTTAACAACGCTACTATTATTTTGCACTAGTATCTATTCCTATTTTCAACAACATGATTATTTTTACTTACTAGTTACTACAAACTTCTGGAATTTTGAGAGTACCAAAAACTTATTTTTAAGTTTTAAATCACATGTGAGTCCAAAATTCAAAGAAATGAATGATTTTGTCAGGTAGATAACTAGACTTTTGGTTTCAAAGTCTATGAGTATGAGATTGAAATATCAAATTTTGCAAGCATTTGGTAGTCACAGATTACACGCAACTGAAGACGCAGTGACTAGAACTACCAAATAATTTTTCATATTATTGATATTAAATTATTTGATGACACTGTGCAAATTTTTCTATACTTCATAACTTTGTTTAGTAGGAAAAGAAATATTTTGAGAGAAAATTAGATTTCGTAATTAATAATTTTATGATTAAAAAAGTTATCCCGACAAATTAAGAGTTGGGGACTCAAACACAGATACATTCGTTCAGAAAGCTAAAAGTTCTATTAACTAGGGCAATGGGTAATGCTACATGCTGCATGACTTCTTTTTTTTTTTTTTTTCATTACAAGAATGTTAGTGATTAGTAATTAATGTGGAAGAAGTGCGAAACCTCAAAGCCAGACTTTCTAGAGCAAAAAAGATTAACCCTACCATTTGGGCTAAGGCGGCATTGACACCCTATTGTCACGCCCCGCCTATGGAGGTTGTGCCACGCAGGCGACATGCAGACGCTGAGGAGGATGCTACATGGCAACTGCATGGCGAGTGGAGTTTCTAGAGTCTTTCGGAATTGTCTAAAGTTGTGTGGAAGATTCTAAATATGTGTAATATATTTTAGAATTCTCCAGAATTGTGTGGAGTAGTATGGAGAGTTCTAGAATGTTGTAAATACTTGTACATAAGTATGGAAGTGTGAAGAAGGTGGGAGAAGATTCTAGAGAATCGATCTCCACCGTTGGTTAGAATGCATCCTAGCCCCCATTAGGGATGGGGATGCCTATAAATAGAGATAGGACTTCATTTTGTAGGCAACAAGTCCTAGAGTGAGTTTTTAGAGCCTTGTAGAGAGTTTGAATGCTAGCCTTATACAAAGCATTCTTTTAAGTAATAGAAGTGTTCTTTCCTTGTCAACTTAAGTGCCTTAGTGTGTGTGAGTGTGCAAGCCAAGTGAGGAGAGGGCGAGAGCCACTACAACACTATTAAGCACACGAGGGGAGTGTATTGGCTAAGGTGTGCACGGGAGTTAGGCTGACTAAGCACTTGCGAGAGTAGAAGTAACGTCTTGGTGCCGCACTGGGGTAGCTAGAGTGATGCTGAAACTCTAAGCCCGTGACAATTGGTATCAGAGCAGGTTCGTCAAGGGAGCTTTGTTGGAGTAGACATGGCTAGCAGAGGAGACCACCAAGTCCACGTCTTGGAGCAGAGCTTGGAGGAGAAGCTTGCCACACACTTGGTCTACACAGAGACCATGTTTAACAGGCTCAAGAGAAGGATGACGAAGCTCTACGAGCTGATTGATGGCATCGCCAACAAGGCACAAGAGAAGGAAAGGGACTTGCAAGATCGGGTAGACGACTTGCGCGTAGAGATTGCCGAATGCAAGAAGGAGTTCTCTCAGGTGCGCAAGGTCATGGTGAAGCCAAGGAAGAAGAGGCGCCAGAGCCCAAGGAGTATGATGGGGCAAGGAATGCGTGCCAGATTGACAACTTCTTCTGGCACATGGAAAGATACTTCGAGTGCATGGAGATCGAGGATGATGAGGAGAAGGTGCAGACAGACACTATGTACCTCACGAACACTGTCGCTCTATGGTGGAGGCAGCGATTCACTGGTAGAGGCACAAGAGCGGTTGACACATGGGAGGAGTTCAAGAGGCAGTTTTATCCCGAGTGCGTCGAGGACCTCCCCATGATCAACCTAAGGCGCCTGAAGTAGAAGGGCAGCATAAGGGAGTATGTGAAGGAGTACTCCAACTTGATGCTAGAGATCCCAGAGATGCCGGAGTGGCAACACGTGTGCTTGTTCATTGATGGGTTGCAATTTTGGGTAGCCACAGAGCTGAGAAGGAGGGAGCCTAGAGACTTGGCATCCGCAATGGCTATAGTGGAGCTCCTTGAAGACTTTAGGCGCGATGACAAGAGAGCCACGTCTCCCAGGAGGGATTACGTCAAAGGTGGGGGAGACCGGCGCTTCAAGAAACGAGGCTCGCCCAAGTCCAGTGATGATGAGTACAGCGATGAGGAGAGACACCCACGCCATGACAAGGGTAAGGACCATGGAGAGAGGTCCAAGGCCAGTGGCAAAGGGAAGCGCCACGATAAGGGCAAATGGAAGCCGAAGTGCTACTTGTGCAAAGGGCCGCACATATTGCGACACTGTCCAAACAAGAAGACCACGAACGCCCTTGTGAATGATAAGGGTAAGGGTAAGATGGACGATGCGGGCAGCGATGAAGACAGGTGTATGGGGGCTATGCAGATGCTGAGTAGCATGGCGCATGACACCAAGAAGAAAGGCAAGGCAAAGAAGGTAGCTGGGGTACGCTATGTGGATGCGCAGATTGGTAGCAAAGTCGTGTAAGCGTTGGTGGACACGGGCACTACACACAACTTCATCACCCCGGAGGAGGCGCAACGACTTGGCTTGGAGATGCGCAAGACGAAGGGCTGGATCAAGGCCGTCAACTCCGAGGAGGCACACGTGAGTAGAGTGTGCAAGGAGGTAGAGGTATGCATGCAAGGATGAAAGGGCAAGACCGACTTCCAGGTTGCGGAGATGGACAACCACGACATGGTGCTGGGGCTGGAGTTCATAGACAGGAACAACGCCGCGCCACTACCATGCCTTGGTGCATTGATGACACTTGGAGGCGAGGAAGGCAAGGCCGCATGCATGGTGCCACTAGTAGGCAGGAAGGAGAGTCCAGAGGTGGCAATCAACACGATGGAGCTTGTGAGAACCTCACATCTCCCGAAGGGGGCGCGTACATTTGGGCCAAGGATATATGCGCAAGTACTGATGGCCTGCGAGAGGCTAGGTCAACTGAAGAAACCGTGACGAGGGAGTCACGGAAATGGGTGGGGGAGAATGTCACGCCCCGCCTATGGAGGTTGTGCCACGCAGGCGACACGCAGACGCTGAGGAGGATACTGCATGGCGAGTGGAGTTTCTAGAGTCTTTCGGAGTTGTCTAGAGTTGTGTGGAAGATTCTAGATATGTGTAGTATATTCTAGAGTTCTCCAGAATTGTGTGGAGTAGTATGGAGAGTTCTAGAATGTTGTAGATACTTGTAGATAAGTATGAAAGTGTGAAGAAGGTGGGAGAAGATTCTAGAGAAATGTCACTCTCGCTTATCAATTTAGTTATCTCTAAGTGGTAGTTAGACATGCACAAAATTCAACTACTATACATTTTGTATTAAGCTAAATATGATTAGACAATGAAAGATTATTATTATTATTATTTTGCACTTTGTTGCTTATTATTGATATTAGAAAAGACATGACTAAAAATGAGAGATACATCTATTCACATTTAAGTTTTGAAGCCAACCTTTTTTATGTCTACATCGCCTCAAACAAAATTGAGAAGATTTTAAATAAAATATGGCAACTCATAATAAAAATCTCTGTGGCAATTATTGATAGATGTTACATATTACTACTTGGACATACACCACGTTTTAATACAAGGGTGACTAGAGTCTAGAGTCCACTTCATTTTTGTCTCGCTTGAGAAAATTGTTCTCCAAATAGGTGCAACTAATTTTTATACTCATTATATATATATATATATATATATATGTTATTAATGTAAAAAGTAGGTTTATTCTGTGCAAGTATCACTTCCTTAATATAAATTGAGGCGCAAGCAATCATACTCTTAATGTTGACCATAAATACTTGCCTCTCTCGTCGCCAACTAAAACCCTCAATGGGTATTTTCACTGCCCTCTATAGTCTATATATCAAAAATATGATATGAGTTCAGATTTTCTTGATTTTTTTTTTAAAAAAAAAAGAGAAAAAAAACCCAAAAAAACAATATGTGACATTTAGATAATTATAAAAGACAATTTTTTAAAATTAAATATATATTTTTAAGAAAAATAATACAAAATTGATCAATTTTTTATTTTTTATTTTGTGTGACTTCAATAAATAGAGTCTAATAAAAACTCTTCGTTAGTAAAAGATAAAAATAAACTATCTCTTATTTATTTCAATTCGTACAAAAATGTATTTATATTAAAAAAAAAAATTAATTAAATTTTCATAAAATAATTCTAAAAAATTGTCAATCAAACATATTTTTGTATAAATTTTTTATTTTTAATTTTGTAATAAAACAAAATAATTATTCTCAAAATACTAAACCAAACCAAAAATATATAAATTACATTACCTTCTATTTTTTTGTTTTTTTGGTACTTTTAAACGTTCAAACAAACACACCACACTGAACTGTGACTGTGAGAGCCTAGAGACAAAACAACAAAATCCTCCACACAACATAAACAATACTCCTAGATCAGACCAGAGCGGTTTAATTACCAACCTACCCTTCTTCTCCCTCCCCCACCACCATAGCTCCGGTGGGGTCCTATCGCCACCACCCATCATTTTGGGCCCCACTCAAAACCCATCATCCTTTCTTGAACATCAACTTCACACACAGATCCATCACTCGATCTCTGTCGCTTTTGCAGTACGCGTTGAAGTCTCTGGCTCCCCCACTACCCTTTAGACTCTCTCTCTCCCCATCTCTCTCCAAAATATATCGTCTCTGTTGATCTTTCCTTCAACCCTGTGGCATTGATTCTCTGAATGCCCAATCCACACCACCCCAGCTCAATAGACCCTCTCTCTAAACAGGGTTTTTCTCAAGAAAGGAATCAATTTACCTAAAAGGGTTTCTTTTGACACATACATTTCTTATATTATATTTGGATAGATATATATATATAGGTGTTGTTTGTGTATCGTTTACTGGCATTCTTTAATGTGGGGTTAGTGTTTCTTGTGATGGGTGTTTAAGAGAGTGGGCTAAAGAAGAGAAAAAGCTGTGCTTATTCTTGATGGGTTCTGAGTGATTGTGTGTGTGAGTGTGTGAAAAAGCGAGAGAGAGAGAGTGATTGTGTTGAGGTTTGATGGATACCAAAGGACGACTCATTGCGGGTTCACACAATAGGAATGAGTTTGTTCTCATCAATGCTGATGAGATTGGAAGAGTAAGTGCCCTCAAGGTCTAATCTTCTTCATTTTTTGCTTGTTTTTCAGTTGCTTTGAAGTGTGAACTGCTTTTCAACTACATTTCTAGGTTTCAGAAATATTGGAAGAGTTGTTGCCCCCAAAATGTGTTCTTTTTCGCTCTTCTGAACGGCTTTGATTGTTTTTTACTCTATTTGTGGATTTTGAAGATACCCATTTGCTCTTTTTTTTCAGCTTCTGTAATATGGGTTTGATTTTGATGAAGGACTTCCCCTTTTTTGTATGATTTTTGGTGGGTTTTTATTATTTTAATTCTTATTTGCTTTTGGTTAGGGATTAATCTGAATCAATTTTAGATTTTGCTATTTACTCCATTCTTATTCATGCTTGTTTTTCAGTTCTCCAGCCTGATATAAGTAGAACAAACCCATTTCTGCACATTTATTATTTCTCTTATTATAATTATTTTTGCTTACTGCGTAGATATGATGTCTTGATTCAAGTGAATGGCTTTCAGAAATTGGTTCCTTCTTTCTCTAATCATATCTCTTTTAGATTAAAGAGCTAGTCAAAGACCCCTCATTGCTTGCAATTTCTCAACTGTTAAGATTTTTAATTTTGTGATTTAGTGCTCATTTAAATTCCCAATTGTTTGTGCATAACAGGTCACATCTGTAAAAGAATTGAGTGGGCAGATTTGCCAGATTTGTGGAGATGAGATTGAAATTACAGTGGACGGGGAACCATTTGTTGCCTGCAACGAATGTGCATTCCCTGTTTGTAGGTCTTGCTATGAGTATGAAAGAAGAGAGAGCAATCAGGCTTGCCCTCAATGCAAAACTAGATACAAGCGCATCAAGGGTAACGCTCTTTCCATCTCTAAGCTGGCTTATTTTACTCTATATACTATAGTGAAATTGGTGATATTATTATTAACAATCCAAACAAATGCCAGGGAGTCCCAGAGTTGAAGGTGATGAAGAAGAGGATGAATTTGATGATTTGGATGATGAGTTTGATTTTAGGAGCAATGATCGGAGAGACCCTCAACACATTGCAGACGCAGTGCTCTCTGCTCGCCTTAACACGGGCCAGGGTGCCCAAGCCAATGCTTCTGGGGTCACTATCCCGTCAGAGATGGATTCCTCTTCCATTTGTCCTGGAATCCCTCTCCTGACCTATGGGGAAGAGGTGAATTGATTAACATTCCCTCAATTTTGTTCTTTTTTCGGTTAATATTTGGGATTTGCACGCTGTAAGCTGAATGGTGATATATTTTTTGATGAAGGATGCGGAAATTTCCTCTGACAAGCATGCTCTTATCATTCCCCCATTCATGGGTCGTGGAAAGCGAGTACATCCTATGCCATTTCATGATTCCTCCATGTCTTGTAAGTTTAAAGGTTTTACTGAATAGCAGTTTTCCTTTTTTTAAATTTCACAGAAAGTTACGTAGCTTCTGAACCTGCTGGTTTTGTTCTTTCAGTGCCACCGCGATCAATGGATCCTAAAAAAGACTTAGCAGTTTACGGGTATGGTACTGTTGCATGGAAGGAAAGAATGGAGGAGTGGAAAAAAAGGCAGAATGGTAAACTAGAGATGGTTAAGCACCAAGGAAAAAGTGGGGGTGGGAACAAAGATGGAGATGAGCAGGATGATCCCGACTTGCCTAAGTAGGTGTATTCTTTCCAATCATTTCATCATATCATATTCTTGGTTTTTGATTTGTAGTTGTTGTGATTGAGGTTAATGTATTTTAATATTTTAAATTATAATACTCATCAACATAATTTAACAAACAATTTACTAACCAGGTTAAGAGCTTTGGATGTTTAGTTGAAAATTTATGAAGTCCATTTTGTTTTTGTTTTGTTCCCTCCCTTGAATAACATACGACTCGTTTGTTGATACTACTGGACTTGGCTGTGCCAGATTGGATCTGGTTGGCCTCTTACATACCTAAAAAATAGTTGATGTTTTAATAAGAAATAATTATATTTTTCTTTAATTCATCAATTCTTGGTATTGGAAGGCAGCTGTTTTGGAGAGCAAGTGGCTTGCAAGTCTATGGTTAAATAGCAGAATAGATATGGAAAAAAAGGAGGAACAATTAGAATGGCTAGTATGTAAATAACTGACTTGTTAAAACAGCTAATTGCACATTTGAACAATTGCAAATCACATGAAATTACTTCCTTGTTTAATAGTTGAATCTCTCTATTGCAAAGGAGCTTATAAACAAGTGAATTGCCTTGACAGTAACTAACAAAAAGAATAATCATCAATCACACTAGTTTTATATTCTTAATTTGCCCATGGATTCCAAAACTAGTTGGAAAAAAAGAAATCACATGGGAATACTTCATATGTGCACATCAGAATAATTATTAATCAAAATATTGTGAAAGAAGTGACAAGTAGTTTGATGTTATTATTCCTATTTTGTTAGGTACCACGTATATTACTAGGATGAAGGTAATTTTTTCCTGACAAATACTAGGAGAAGGTATGTGCTTCACCATGTGAGCAGTGGTTTAACTCACGGTGTGCATGGCAGCAAGGTGTAAAGGAAATTATATAATTGTATCAGCTGTTGCAATTATGAAATTGTTATAATGTTGTAGGACTTGATTAAAAGAAAACGATACCCAACTTTTAATTATAAAATTCCATTAAATTTAATAATTTTTGGAAAAAAAAAAAAAAAATTATTAGGTAGGGACATTTGTAGCATGATCCACAAACAAGTGTTTAGATAGAACATAAAAGCAAAACTTACTATCCTACTGATTATTTGCAAGATTGGAAAACTTCTACCTAATATTTGTGGTTAAATCTTGTGTTTGTTTGTTTTTTTTTTTCTTAGTTGGTACTCACACACATGTGCCTCCACTGAGGCTTAAACCCTGACCTCCCTTTGGAAAGTAGGGGCCTGATACGGTTAGGCCTCCCTTTGGAAAGTAGGGGCCTGATACTACTAGGCCTCCCTTTGGAAAGTAGGGGCCTGATACTACTAGGCCTCCCTTTGGAAAGTAGGGGCCTGATACTGTTTGTTAAATCTTGTATTTTTATCTTTTGCATTTGTAAAATTTAAATTTCTTTGATGTTTTAGGAGGTTGTTTAGAGGTTGATAAACTCGTTTGGACGAGAGAAATGGGACAAAATTGGGAAAAAGGCAGGTTTATTAACAGTATTGTCACAGCCCGCCATGTCGACTGTGGTCACAGCCAACTCCAATGTGACATTGTGACTTGAGTCGGGTGCAGTGAGTTTCAAAACCTTTAATATGAGCATGATGGGCATTTGGATGTCTTGCTTAACTGGGATTCTGGGAATGTGTTCTGAAGACATCACTAATATGATTTTAAAATTTGAGTGAAATCATTTATTAAAGGGAATACTTTTCTGAATTGTTAATTTGGGCCCTATTACTCAATAGCACATGCCTAGTATGCAAATAATGTATGCAGGAATTCTCAGGATAGGTGTCATTACTGGATAAAGCAAATAATGTATGCAGGAATTCTCGTGGGTGTAAAAGTCATAGTGGGCATTATATATAAATCAGTTTGTTATAATACCATTAGAAATATCCACGACTTCTTCTTCTTTAATTGCAAAAACAAGTCAATGATTCTATTCCAACTGGACATCCTACAGCCAACAATGGCATCCTATATGGAGAACTTTCTTGGGGTAATAATACTTCCTCGGTTAGTTACATGGTAAGTTGCAAGCAAAATGCATAAGATAAAAGTTAGAAATATTTGAATGAAAATGAAATAGCAAAAATAAATAGAAAGTATTGGTTTGGAACACAAATAAATTCATCAGAATAGAATGTGTAGTACTAAAACTTGTTGACTAATATGTTAGAGAACTTTTAACGTGAACTGCAGATATTCAATACTAATACATCCATTGGGCATGGAAATGGACTCAAATGATTTGCTTGACCTTAAAAGGGTCAAAAGATGAGAATAGAATGTGTAGTACTAAAACTTTTTGACTAATATGTTAGAGAACTTTTAATGTGAGCTGTAGATATTCAATACCACTAATACATCCAATGGGCGTGGAAATGGACTCAAATGACTTGCTTGACCTTAAAAGGGTCAAAAGATGAATTGATTGACTAATATGTTAGATAATCCAAAATTCGCTTTCTGACATTTGCATTTGACCTGCTATATTTCAATGCTTCACGGGGCCATGACTGAGATTAAAATGCTATCACTTGATCTGGGATCTTCAACGATGGAATGTATTCAATTGCCACTTCAGTTTATCTGGATTGGGAAAGGTCCATCATTCTTATTTTCTGTTGTGTTATACTTGTGGTAAATCTAAGGGCCTGAGCTGTTGAGCATGCCCATTTGCAATTGTAATCACATGCTATGTATCTGCCCATGCAGCAACCAAGTTCTGCTGCTATAATATAGCTTAAGTTGTTTTTCAACCTATAACTACATCAACCTATGGTTTGTCAGAATGGAAAATTTGTATCCTGCAATGTTAATCCCAGGGTCCCACCCGAGTAGTAACATGACAGCTTCTTAAACTTAATTATTAGAAATGATAGACTGCAATCCATGAGAGGTCCTTAAGAATAGATATTACATTTATATGCTCTATTATAAGTTGGGAGGGGGGAGTTGTGAAAATATGTTTCCATAATTGGATGAAGTATATTCAGGGTGTGAAGATTATGTTAATAAAATAGCACGTCATTGGCATGAATGCATGATACATTTTCAAAAACAAATTATTGATCAGAAAGAAAAGAGAACATTATTGAAAATGAAATTTATAGTGGCTTCACATTTAGAATATGCTACACGTTCAATTATTTTTTATGTGTTGCAAGTAGATATAACTGGAAAATTTTGGGGTGTCCAAGCAAGCGCTAGTAGGCGTATCTCAAGTTGGCATGTGTAATATGAAATTTATTTATAATTATGAAGGAAATGGATTATATTTTCATTATTTGTGCTCTACCTTCTTTGTTTTGATTCATGAAATTTATTACTCAGTATTTTTTTCTTTATCTTTCTATAGGATGGATGAAGGCAGGCAGCCTCTTTCGAGGAAGTTACCAATTCCTTCAAGCAAGATAAACCCATACAGATTGATTATTTTACTCCGACTTGTGATTCTTGGATTCTTTTTCCACTATAGAATCCTCCACCCAGTCCATGATGCTTATGGATTGTGGCTAACATCTATTATATGTGAGATATGGTTTGCCATATCATGGATATTTGATCAGTTCCCAAAATGGTTCCCAATTCAGCGTGAAACATACCTCGATAGACTATCACTAAGGTATATAAGCCTCTTCCCCCCTCCCCTTCTCTCTCGATGTGTTCTAAACTAATTCACATAAAATTCTTTTAGGTATGAGAAAGAAGGGAAGCCATCTGAGTTAGCTGCCGTTGACGTATTTGTAAGTACAGTCGATCCTATGAAAGAGCCTCCACTCATCACCGCAAACACGGTTCTGTCTATCCTTGCTGTGGATTATCCAGTCGACAAGGTTGCATGCTATGTCTCAGATGATGGTGCTGCTATGCTCACTTTCGAAGCCCTCTCTGAGACATCTGAATTTGCAAGGAAGTGGGTCCCTTTCTGCAAGAAGTTCAACATTGAGCCTCGGGCCCCGGAGTGGTATTTTGCTCAGAAGGTTGACTATCTGAAAGACAAAATACATCCAACATTTGTGAGGGAGCGTCGTGCAATGAAGGTTGGCAACTCTTTTTTTTTTTTAAAAAAAATAAAAAGTAAAAATAAAAAATAAATTGATTAACCGTTTCTGTTTGATCCCAACAAGTGTGCATGGCATGCTAACTGTATAAAATTAAGGATGTCACAGAAACTGCAGAAGTTGACTCTGTTCAAACTATGGAATGACATGTGGAGAAGTTACTATTTAGCATTCAATGAAATAGATGAGCTATTATAAGTTCTGTTTTTCTGACTTAATTGTGAAACTTTTTAACATATTCTCAGAAGTAACTTTAATTTTGGATTTGTTTGTCCTCTATGATGATTGGTATTCGCTTGTTATCATTTTTTTGCCACAGAGGGAATATGAAGAGTTCAAAGTTCGGATAAATGGGTTAGTTTCCATGTCACAAAAGGTTCCTGAGGAAGGTTGGACAATGCAGGATGGGACTCCATGGCCAGGGAATGATGTCAGGGACCATCCTGGAATGATCCAGGTGTGGGAATGCTCCCTTAATGTACTTCAGTAGATTTTTGGGCTAAATATCAGACTGGCCCTTATTAATGTTAGGCTGTTAAAAATTATGAGTAATTTTAAGTTGCTCCTGTCTTTAACAGGTCTTTTTGGGTCATAATGGTGTTTGTGATGTTGAAGAAAATGCATTACCACGTCTCATCTATGTTTCCCGTGAGAAGAGGCCAGGATTTGATCACCACAAAAAAGCTGGGGCCATGAATGCTCTGGTAAATCTCTCTTGGAATTTCATTCCACCCCCCACCCAAAATAAAAGGAAAAAACAGAAAAATGCATGCTCAATTTTGCCAATTTTGATTATTGTGTTAAATGATTTTCTAGGTGCGTGTCTCTGCAGTCGTATCAAATGCTCCTTACCTTCTGAATGTTGATTGTGATCACTATATAAACAATAGTAAGGCACTTCGGGAAGCTATGTGCTTCATGATGGACCCCACCTCGGGGAAAAAAATATGCTATGTGCAGTTTCCTCAAAGGTTCGATGGGATTGATCGTCATGATAGATACTCAAATCGCAATGTCGTGTTCTTTGATGTACGTGTTGCACTTCTTTGCTTACATTAAATGTGGAAATGTGTTATGGTATCAACATTTATTCCGGAAAGCTAATTTCTTTTTCCACTTTGAGAACAGATCAATATGAAAGGCCTTGATGGGATCCAAGGACCAATTTATGTTGGAACTGGGTGTGTTTTCAGGAGGCAAGCACTCTATGGATATGATGCTCCCGTTAAAAAGAAACCCCCAGGGAAGACATGCAATTGTTGGCCAAAATGGTGTTGCTGTTGTTTTGGATCTAGAAAGAAGAACAGGAAAAGGAAATCAAAGGAGAAAAAGAAGATAAAGAGCAGCGAGACTTCAACACAAGTACATGCACTTGAAAATATAGAAGAAGGAATCGAAGGTATGGAAGATACTAGTGTCACATTTTTTAACACGTTATAGAACTTCTCAAATATAGCCAAGTAATTCCAGTATTGTGTGCGAAATTCCAATGTTATCGGAGTAATTCATTGCGATAAGTTATGCTTCCTCCCCCCCACCCCCAAAATGCAATTTTTTGATGCACTTGATTTATGATGACTATTTGTTGATTCACTCATGAACCATGGTATTTACCTACTGTTTCCCCCAAAGACTATCCCTAAAATTTATCACTTCCAATCTTCTTTGCAGGAATAGATAATGAAAAATCTTCCCTAATGCCCTTGATAAAATTTGAGAAAAAATTTGGACAGTCTCCTGTTTTCATTGCTTCAACACTTTTAGAAGAAGGTGGTGTTCCACCTGGAGCCACGTCTGCATCACTCTTGAAAGAGGCCATTCATGTCATTAGTTGCGGTTATGAAGATAAAACAGAATGGGGCAAAGAGGTATGCTGCAACTGCTTCAAATTTTAGAGGTCTGTAAGCTTTCTTAGCAAGATATACATTGTTTATTTACCCTTCAATTTCTTATATTATGTAACCAGGTGGGTTGGATATATGGTTCTGTTACTGAGGATATATTAACTGGTTTCAAGATGCACTGCCATGGCTGGCGATCAGTGTATTGCATGCCCCGAAGGCCTGCATTTAAGGGATCAGCCCCTATAAACCTATCAGATCGTCTGCACCAGGTTCTCCGGTGGGCCCTGGGATCTGTCGAGATTTTCTTGAGCAAGCATTGTCCAATCTGGTATGGATATGGATGCGGTTTGAAACCACTGGAGCGGTTTTCATACATAAATTCAGTTGTTTATCCATTGACATCCATTCCCTTGATCGCTTATTGTACACTGCCAGCTGTCTGTCTCCTCACTGGGAAGTTTATCGTCCCAGAGGTAAGCATCAGCTGCATCTTATTTAAAATTACTCTCTTTATGACCATATTTAGCCGATCTTACGAGTTAAATTCATTAAGATGGTTTGACGTGGCATCAAAAGTTTGACATGTTGCTTCAATTCCAACACTAAGGTCATAAATTTCATTTATCTCAAGCCTTAATCTTTTTCTGTAAATTCACTTTTTGGTATAAATGCACATTTTGAAACTATACATCTTAATTCTAGTGGACAATATGAGGACGTTTATTGATCCACAACTCAAGAAAAGCGTGATTATTGGTGCAATTATTGTCTTGAGAGATCATTTGCCAATAGCCTCCATTTGGACCATCTTTGATAAGACCAGCCTGTGCTACTTCCTCCTTGAAGCTGATTTTATTTGGTTCGGAACGATTCAGCTAACAAGTTCTTTAAATTATCTGCAGATTAGCAATTATGCCAGCATTGTGTTCATGGCCCTCTTTGTATCAATTGCTGCAACTGGTATTATGGAGATGCAGTGGGGAGGCGTAGGCATCGATGACTGGTGGAGAAATGAACAGTTTTGGGTGATTGGTGGTGTCTCATCACACCTTTTCGCACTCTTCCAAGGTCTTCTTAAGGTTTTGGCAGGGGTCAATACGAACTTCACTGTCACATCCAAAGCAGGAGATGACGGGGACTTCTCCGAACTGTATCTCTTTAAGTGGACAACATTGCTGATCCCTCCCATGACTTTGCTGATTATAAACATAATTGGAGTCATGGTTGGGGTGTCTGATGCCATCAACAATGGTTACGAGACATGGGGCCCTCTATTCGGTAAGCTGTTATTTGCTTTCTGGGTCATTGCCCATCTTTATCCCTTCCTAAAAGGATTCATGGGGAAACAAGATAGGCTTCCCACCATTATTTTGGTATGGTCAATTCTTCTGTCTTCAATTTTCTCACTTTTATGGGTCCGAATCAACCCATTTTTGTCGAGAGGCGGTATTGTACTAGAAGTTTGTGGATTGGATTGCGACTGAGACACACAACACATAAGAGTTTTAGATGGTTCAAAGTTATATGTAGAAAGATTGTTTGGCAATGACTGCGGAGGGCTGCATCTTGGAGGCGAACATCCAACGACATTTCCCCACACGGTATGTATGATTGTTGACGAGAATGATCACTAGGTATAAATGAAATGCAAAGTAAATTCTGGGTGGGGTGTGTGTGTGTGTGTAGATAAAAGGACTACGACCTGACACATTGATATTTGTTTTTGTAAAATTATTATTGATTCTTTATTTAAAACATTAGTTTTGAGGGTTTCAGAAGATAGAATCTGGATTGTGCGCAGGAAAGTTGGTATTTTTCTTTTCTCATAAATTATTGTCATGTCCTAAAAAGGGACTTGTTATTTGCTGTTTCCAAGCTTTTTTAGCTTTCATTTTTCAAGAACTTTTTCATCATTCTTGTTCATTTGTGTATCGTTAATAAGTTAGCTACATTGTTGCAGAAAGCACTCGAATATCCATATTTATGAAGTAATAGAGCTTGCATTGTCTGCCTGTGTTGTTTAAATGTTAGCAATTTATCTGATGAATGTGTTTGTGCCCCTCTTTATCATCTTAGTTTAGTTATGTACCGTGTTTGATCAAGAGGGTGGTCTTCTTCTTCGGCAGCTTCAAGAAAGTACTGAAATATTGATGTTGTAAATTATAATCATCAATTTACCCATAATGATGGATGAAAACTGAAATTTCTTTGCACGTGTTGTGTTGTTCGAGTGGTTGGGTTGTTTCTTGTGTCCATGAGTTCGTGTTCAAGTCTTGTATCATCCCCTCTTCTCTAACCACTAATTTTTAATATTCTTGCCATGAAAAAAATTAAAAAAAATTAATTAATTAAATTCAATTTCTCTCCCTTCGGTTTAGCAATGCAGTCCCACCATCTCAGGAAGATAGGCGTTTTGCTCCATTTTGTATCAATTAAATGAAAATTTCCTGGTTGAAGTTTCTTGTTTCTTCAAGTAGCACATGTATACCTTTGTTTTTTTGACCCAGAAATGATTAATTCATAGGAAATCCCATACTTTGTTTGGTTAGATGGAATCTACTAGAAAAGAAAGGAAAGATAATTTAAAAAAAAAATTTAAGTTTCGATTGAAGGAAAGAGAAACGTACAAGTGTTCGAGCCTTCTCACTTCTTTTATTACTCTCGACTTAAAATGCTGCTTGCACTGTAGGGTCGGGGTGAGTGGTCGGGGGTTTACCTGGTAATTACAAGTCCAAAGGGAAGGTAATTGCAAGGGTTTTCCCACATCGAAGGAAAAAAGAAAAAAAAAAAAAAGGGGAGAAACGTACAAGAAAATTTAATTTTTTTGCACTAGTCTATTTTCCCCCAAAAACTTTTGTGAAAGGAGTTCCTTTATATTCGATATTCTTATTTTATCCAAAAATTTAATCCTGCAAAAAATAGACAACTTGTTTTGTGGTTTTTTTCTTTATTTTTCACTGGGTTTTTTTGTGCGTGGGCCATAAACTACTATATTTATGGGAGGCTCATCTAACCTTTTTTTTTTTCTTTTTTTTTTTGTCGATATTTGTTTGATCTAATACTTGATAATAATATACTTGACAACAACATTATATAATTTTATCAAAAAAAAAAAAAAACAAACAACGTATAATCAATTTTTTTTTAAGCTTCCTTTCTCTTAAATTAATAATTAGTTCTACCTAAAAAATATTATGAAACTTTAGTTTAAATATAAATAATAGAAATAAATATTAAATATTTATATTATTAAATTTAATAATCTATCATTTTACTATTTCTTTACTATATAAAATTAAACACAATTATTTATTTTTTTTCATTTGAAATTATAAGTAGGTTTGGTATGTATAATCACTTTTTTTTTTTTTTTTTTTTACTTTCATGCCATCCAAACTAACTAATTAATATTTTTTTTTACAATTTTCATACTAACCAAATATATGCAACGGAATTACTTTTTTTTTCATTCACTTCACTTTCTTTTCATTTTCTAATTATTTTCTTTTCTTGCTTATTTCAATCTAACCAAACAAAGCCCTAGTGATGTTATTTGTAGGCAAACATATTTCCCATGCAAAAGAAATGTCCCAGACATGTTTGGCACAAGCAAATATCATCGATGCCAAAATTCAAAAAGTTGATTAGAAAGAAAATGTAAAACAGGAATGACAGAAACAAAACTTCTAAAATTAGAAACAGAAAAATGGAAATCACTGCCACTACTCCATAAAATTTTGTTTCCCCTATGGTTGGTGTTTTCTGAAACAGGAATAAAATAATGCACAACATATGAATCTACCATATGGACAGAAAATAATGAGACTTGGGAGATTTCAATACTGCTTTCGCAGTGAACTTCCCAACACTTTCCTGTTCAATAATCATAGCTTAATCACTGCAAAGTGCAAACATTCCCACAATTCTAAATAACAATGTCAAGCTTTCCAAGTGAAAATGTCATCATACACAAATACACTTCGACGTCCAGCTAATAACAAAAATTAGGTGTTTTACAATACATTAATTCCATTCACAACAACCATCAAATAGATTAGATGACAGAAATCTAAACAAAATCCCCCCAAAAAAAAAAAATTGGTACCACTGTTTCACATGTTTTTGCATGAGATATGCTTGCATAATAATCACAGCAGTCAGTGTACTTTCTTGTGAGAGCTTCCCTCGTCAAATCTTCAAAAAAACGATTAACGAGCATGACCTAACATCATTATTTCCTTCGAAGATCCTCCAAGGCACGCCTCTTCGTAACTGATTTTACCATTGTTGCATTGCTCGTTTGCTCTCTCTTGATGCTTGGTGCAGCATTCTCTTTCATATCAAGTGTCGTGATAAGCTTCTTGGGCGTACCTTGAATCAAACTAGCTCTAGCATCCTTCCATTTCTTTGCCGTGGAATTAATCTGCTTAGCAGACAAACTGTTGTCCTTCTCCATTTCTGCAACTGAAATTTTCCCCCGAGCCGACACTGCTGGAAAGCCTGTGATGCAATATAACCAAGACCAACTACTTAGTTTTCCAAGATAAATGTAAATGTACCTAAATAATACAGCTAAAGAATATCTGCTGACTCTAGTTGAAACTTTGCAGACCTCCATCAACAGCTGAATCAGTGAATGAATGCAGTTGATCTACCATTCTTGAGTTTGATTTTAGAACATCTTCAATTGGCTCTATTTCTTCTCCCCTTTCTCCACATTCAGTGTGGGCTGGATTTTCTACAACTGAATAGTTAGAGTCACCTTCAGCCCTGGGCTCGACGGAAGCAGCACGTTCACAACCATTCATATTGGCAATATCTGTCAAAATCATATCATGCATAGCAACACTAGATTCTTCTTTCTCAATATATTCAGAATAATTGTACTCTTTCGTGGTAACAACCACATCATTTAACTCCTTAAAAGAAGCAAGAAAACTGTCACTAGACTCTTCAAACTTTTCCTCCATGTGGTACTCACTATTGCCAGGTTGCTCTTCCGCAAGCATAATAGTTGCATTTTCTTTCACCTCTCTGGCATTCTCACTACCTTCACATATATAATTGGTTTCTGAGGTGTCTCCATACAATTTCTCAAATACATCATCGTCTCCTGAAAATAAATTCATCTCCCAACTGCTGAACGTGCAGGATTCAACATTAAAACCAGAGGCTCCCTGTTCAGTTGTTCCTGAAAACAAAATTATTAAATACAAAGATTCAGATTCTAATATTCAGTTAAAGCAGGAAGAATGGACAAAAAAAAAAGGTCCTGTAGTAGTTGGACCTTATGAGCATAAAACATTATGCACAAACCATGATTAACAGAACATTTGAATGATGGAATGGCAGCAGTGTTACTATTTCCTGCAGGTGCTGATACAGAATTGACAAAAAAGTTTTGTTCTGCAGACTCATTGGAATCACCAGCACAGGGAACCATGTCAACATTGTTGTGCAAAGAACCACTAGCTTCCTTAGTCTCCTCAGCTATGCTTTTACTTTCATCTCCACATAAAAGCTTATTTGGTGTCAGACAACCAAAACCACCCAAGGAAGCATCATCAACAAGTGCATCTTCATTATTCACTGGATGCTCTTTAGAAACTTCTAGGAAACTTTTGACATTGTCTTCTATGTGGGATCCATCCTTCGAATCATCTGAAACATTATTGACTCTCATACAATCATCTGCTGATAATTCCCGTGAATCCTCACCGTCCATAACAGTAGGAGTGTTGTGCATGTTGCCTATTAAGTAATGAAGGAGATGGAATATATAGTGTAAGCGTTTATGTGTGAATCCATATGACAAGAATGCAAGCATGGTTCATAAATTTATTAAATTAGGTTCACGGTAAGTTCAAATTTAAACTTCTATACCTTTGTCCTCGTCAACAAAAATGGATGCAATAGGGGAAACTGCAAACCCATGGGCATCATTGAGTTGGTCTTCTGAAACAACTTCATTGATCTTCTTTCCTTCAGCAATGCTCATGTCTCCTTCGAATAAGTGAGAATCATTCTTCTCTCCTGCAGTATATTAGTACAAAAATTATTCCAAAAATTCAGTACTCATATGAACAGAAAACTTCTAACACATCACCAATAAGTGCCATAAAATCAATGTTGTCAAACAAAAGTAAAAGAGTGTTTACAACTCACCGTCAGAATTTGAAACATTTGTTGAAACTTTCTCGTGCTCCAAATTAAGATCAAAATACCCAATAGGAACATCTGTTTTCTTTACTGCGTCAGAGCTCCTATCCTTGACGTCCAAACTCCCTTCCTTTGTTGCAACATCTTTCTGACTGCCAAGATCACCATGCTTCACTTCATCAACTTGCAACATGGTCCCAGTAACATCATCTGCTAATAATTCCTGTGAATCCTCACCGTCTTCACTTTTGTCCAGCTCCTGAACTATCTCCATTTTGTGACCAGAACAATCACCCAACTTCATTTCATCAACTTGTGGCATTGTCTCCTCAAATACATCAGAAAACTCTGCTAAACGTACATCTCCTTTTCTATCTGTTTGCTTAACTGAAGCAAGAGTGCTTTTGTCCAGTGCCGAAATCCCCTCATCATTGAAAATGTCAAGTTCACCACATTCAACTCCATCAGGTTCTGGCATATTCCTATTCTTAACCCCCATTGAGACACCCTCACTGTCATTACGATCCATATCAGCTTCTGCATCAGCCAATATCAGTTCTTCTTTTGCAATTTTTTCTGATACCTCATATAAAGCACCTAGAGAATTAATGTTCCACTTTGCAAACTTATCCCCATGATCTGTAGCAACCTTAACAAGCCCCAGTCGACCAAATGATGACATAGTTTCTTCATTCTCTTTCTCTTTCTTCATTGTGGTTCCTTCAAAACATTTGGAACTGCTCTTAGAAAGATCAGCAGTCAATTTCTCATCAGAAGCTTCACTTTCTGTGAACATGGTCTCAGCCAAACTTGCACCGCTACTGCCAATTACCTGTGCAAGCCCATCCTCACAATCACAAGGTTCAGGAGAAGCAACCTCTGGCGGAAACTCTGCATTTTCTTCCTCATTGACAAGATCATCACATTGAACATCAGAATCTCCTTCTGTGCTTTTAGCATCAACCTTAGCCTTTGTTCCAGTGGCGTACTTAATAGAAGGCACATCTGCAAAACAGTTTAAAAAATCAATAAAGAAAAAGAAGAAACAATCCTGAGTTTTCTGATCCTGATAAAGAGGTTGGTAATGTAATAGTGGGCAACAAACCTTGGTGTGGCATGTCATTATCAGTTGAAAGGTTATGCTTGATGCAGAGCATTTCTTTATTGCTAGTACCAGAGACTGCAACAAGGAAACATTTTCTTGTCATTACTTCATATAAAAGCAAAATAACACATTCAAGAATTTACAGATAAAAGCATCAGTTCATCATGTACCTTTGTATTCTGAAACATAATTAGGTATGAATTCGACGTCTGCTTTTTCATTCGAGCCTTCATCAATAAACTCTTCAACAGAAATTGATAATGCATTCGACTTAGATGCTGTTGATTTTTCATGTTCACTTTCCATTGTTCCTACAATTTCTCGAGGCAAACCCTTGGCCAGCATTACATCAACTGTCCCAGTTTCATGGGTAGAAGCTTCTTCATTGGAATTTCTATCATGAGCTGGAGTGGCAAACAGAGTTTTGAGTCCATCACCTGCTCAATTAAGAGGTAAGACTAATCACTAAGCATACTTAAAATAGGGTATTATATTTTAAGAGGGGACCATTGGACTAACCTTCTTCCCTTCTGTCATCCTTTAGGGGAGTGCGGTCATAAACATCTGTTTTTTCATTAAAGCCTTCATCAATAAACTCTTCATCAGAAATAGGTAGTGCATTTGACTTAGATGCTGCTGATTTTTCATGTTCAGTTTCCATTGTTCCTACAACTTCTTGAGGCAAACCCTTGTGCATCATTACATCAACTGTTCCAGTTTCATGGCTAGAAGCTTCTTCATTGGAATTTCTATCATTAGCTGGAGCGGCAAACAGAGTTTTGAGCCCATCTCCTGCTCAATTAAGAGGCAAGACAAGTCACTAAGCATACTTAAAGAGGGTATTATACTTTGAGAAGGGACTATTGCACTAACCTTCTTCCCTTCTGTCAACCTTTAGGGGAGTGTGGTTGGCATCTGCTTTTTCATAAAAGCCTTCATCAATAAACTCTTCATTGGAAATTGGTTGTGCATTTGACTTGGATGCTGCTGATTTTTCCTGTTCACTTTCCATCGTTCCTACAACTTCTCGAGGTAAACCTTTAGGCATCGTTACATCTACCGTTCCAGTTTCATGGCTAGAAGCTTCTTCATTGGAATTTCTATCATGAGCTGGAGTGGCAAACAGAGTTTCGAGTCCATCACCTGATCAATTAAGAGGTAAGACTAATCACTAAGCATACTTAGAGAGGGTATCATATTGTAAGAAGGGACGATTGGACTAACCTTCTTCCCTTCCGTCGTCCTTTAGGGGAGTGCGGTCATAAACATCTGATTTTTCATTAAAGCCTTCATCAATAAACTCTTCATCGGAACTCGGTAGTGCATTTGACTTAGAAGCGGCTGTTTTTTCATGTTCACTTTCCATTGTTCCTACAACTTCTCGAGGCAAACCCTTGTGCATCATTACATCAACCGTCCCACTTTCATGGCTAGAAGCTTCTTCATTGGAATTTCTATCAATAGCTGGAGTGGCAAACAGAGTTTTGAGTCCATCACCTGCTCAATTAAGAGGCAAGACTAATCACTGAGCATACCTATAGAGGGATCATATTTTGACAAGGACTATTGGACTAACCTTCTTCCCTCCCGTCATCCTTTAGGGGAGTGCAGTCAAAAACATCTGCTTTCTCATTGGAACCTTCATCAATAAACTCTTCATCGGAAATTGATAATGCATTTGATGTAGATGCTGCTTTTTCATGTTCACTTTCCACTGTTCCTACAACTTCTAGAGGCAAACCCCTGGGCACCATTACATCAAATATTCCAGCTGGAGTGGCAAACAGACGTTTGAGTCCATCACCTGCTAAATTAAGATGCAAGACTAATCACTTTAAGTACCACTAATTACTAAGCATGCTTAAAGAGGGTATCATATTTTGAGAAGGACTATTGGACTAACCTTCTTCGCTTCTGTCATCCTTTAGGGGAGTGCGGTCATAAGAGGACATGCTTCCATCATTGCCAGAATCTGCAGCAACAAAGAGTCCAATCAAGTAACAAATTCCTTCAGACATAACCAATGCTAACAAATTTCTTAAGACACAAGCAATGCAAAATTATGACTTTAAATTAGTTAAAAATAAAAAAATTAAGCACTAAGTCAAATGCTCTCACATTTTGGAATTACTATAGGTGTGAGAGTATCTTCTATTTTATCAGTATCCCTCTCCTCTGAGATAATCAGACTTGTTCTCTCTCCATCGGTAAATCCCCTCGTACTTCCTTCTCTAATTTCCTCAGAAACATGAATACAGTTTCTCACTAAGCCTTCATTTTCATTCTCCTTGGCAAGTTGACCATCTAGCTCATTTGAAATAGAGATAGGATTGTCATACATAGATGGATTTCCCTCTAATTTCTCACACGAAGTCTCTCCATCAATAGCTTGCAATGCTTTTTTAACGTGTGATGCCTCTTTAAGCTTATTTTCCATTTCAATTGATGATTCATCAATTGCCTCTTGACTATAAATTTCTTCCATGAATAGATTTCCCTCCAAGTCCTCATAATTTCTCTCCTTATCAACATATTGCATTGCTTTTTTCAAGTATGATGACTCTTCAGACTTATTCTCCATATCTGTTGGGAATTCTTCAATTTGTACATTTGACAGAACTTTAGCCTGAGTCACATCTGGGCAACAAAAAAAATATGTCAGTAATTTGTTCCAGAGTACCTTACTCTGTACAAGAGGAACTGAAAAACTAACCTTGCTTTCGTGCATCATTGTCAATTGAGAGGACATCCCCAGTAGAGTGCGTCACTTCATCCCCAATGCAGCAAGCTGCTACAAAGAGAATATTGTCAAAGACATTGCATTACTTACAGAACTGCACAACATATATAACACATCAAATAATTTTCAAATATGGAATATAAGCATCTCACATACCTTGATCTTCTGGGCCAACAATAAAATTGCAAGAAGGCTTTCCAGGAAAAAAGTAGACACTTGTCAATTGGACTTCTGTAACATTTTCTGCAGCATTTTCAGCAGGCATCACATGGGAAACTGACATCGTTTCCTGTAACCCATCTTCTACATTGCCTCCTACCATAATTGGCGTCACTCTTCCTCCGTCAGAGAGATCAAGTGACTTAATTTCTGTAGCTTTCTCAGAGGCACTTTCTAGGTCAACTAAAGTAGTGCAGTTAAAATCCTCACTTATGTTATGGGGCGGAGAAACCAAATCATACTCACTGCCCTTACCTGTATCACTCTGAAGCAGATTGTCATCACCAACAACCACTGCAACATTTTCCTTTTCTGCAACAACAAAAAATTCACTGACAGAATCATTCATTTCTTGCTCTGCAGGATCACTCTGCAATTTCAAAGAATTTGAAGCTGCAGTCCCCTCTGGTTTCACCACAGATGGATCTCTGACCCCCTCTAAATGGGGACTTCTAGTGCAAACCTCATTAGAACCATGCCTTGTTGACCCCTTTCTCTTATTAGTATCATTGAAAACTTTATTGCTGCTGCTGAAGACTAGACCGCTGGCACTTTCTGGAACTTCTTCATCTGACAATCCAGCATTTAAAGCTGGAGACGTTACTGTCATTTCCTCTGCAGTGTCTGCAGATTTCTCAACCCCATTTACAGGGGTGATTCCCGTCCCATCAGAAGAATCAATGACTGTAACGTCTCCAGCTTCCTTGGAGGCAATTTCAGAGCTTTTCTTGGAACCACCAGTCTCATCAGATTCAGTTAAACGGCCCCCAAGAACCATCTCATGTCTAACTGGTCCACCAAAACTATCACCAGCTTCAAGTTTCAAGTTCTGCTCCTCATGAGGAGTGGCTTTCTCAACTTCAAACCCATATTTGGGCACAGTGAAACTTGGGCGTGAATGTCTGACTTTTGATGGTTTTTCATTTGTTTCCAATTCCGTCCCCAGATCCAAGACACTAACAGGTCCACCTGCAAATTGAAAAACACAATGTCATTACTTGTAAAATTAGCGACACTTAAAATCAAATAAACAGTTACCCAGACAATCTGATTGGTAGTATGGTGATTAGCCATCACCTGCATGTATGGTTTGTGGAGAAGCAACACCACTGACCAAATTCAAGACTTCCTCTGGTTGTGGCTCAACTATGTCATTGCAATGAAAATTTCCACTTCTTTCCAAGGACTCAGATACCAGATCACCCTCATCTACTCCAAATGAAATGTTTACTTCCTCTGTGACAACCACTGCTTTACTGACAAAGCTCTCTCCTTCTTTATGACTATAATCACTATGCATTTTTGCAGATTCAGAAACTGGAGTCCCAGGTGAATTCACTATCGTAATGTCTCTAGCATTCTCTAGGTCAGAAGTTTCCGGGGAGACCACCTTCTTTGTAGAAGATTTCGTAGAAGTTTGTTTGCAGCTGCTTGAAACTGGATCAGTGGCACTTTCCCCAACATCACCCATGGCTAGCTTAGCATCTACCAATGGTGGTTCTTCAGTGGCCAAAGTTCTCTCAATTAATGGTGATGCTTCCACTTCTACGATTGGTGCTTTTGATCTGCCCTTTGCCTTCTTTTTTCCAACAAATTTGCCAGGTACAACTCCTGGCACGACCACCTTCTTTGTAGAATATTTCTTTTCAGTAGTATCCTTAGAAGTTTGTTTGCAGCTGCTGGAAACTGGATCAGTGACAGTTTCCACAACATCACCCATGGCTAGCTGAGCATCGACCAATGGTGGTTCTTCAGTGGCCAAGGTGCTCTCAATTAATGGTGATGCTTCCACTTCTACAATTGGTGCTTTTGATCTACCCTTTGCCTTCTTTTTTCCAACACCTTTGCCAGATACAACTACTGCCACGACCAAGTTACTTTTAACAGCATTTCTTTTGGACCGTCTAGGAGATTCTTCAACAAGAGGAGCAAATTCCTCCGTGACAACCACTGCTTTACTGACAAAGCTCTCTTCTTCTTTATGACTATAATCACTGTGCATTTTTGCAGATTCAGAAGCTTGAGTCCCAAATGAATTCACTGTTATAACGTCTCGAGCTTTCTCTAGCTCAGAAGTCACAGGGCAGACCACCTTCTTTGTAGAAGATTTCTTTTCGGTAGTATCCTTGGAAGTTTGTTTGCGGCTGCTTGAAACTGGATCAGTAGCACTTTCCACAACAACACTCATGGCTAGCTGAGCATCTACCAACGGCAGTTCTTCAGTGGCCAAGGCGCTCCCATTTAATGGTGATGCTTCCACTTCTACAATTGGTGTTTTTGATCTACCCTTTGCCTTCCTCTTTCCAACAACTTTGCCAGCTACAACTCCTGGCATGACCAAGTTACTTTTAACAGCATTTCTTTTGGACCGTCTAGGAGAATCTTCAATAAGAGGAGCAAATTCAGTCACAACAATCTCCTCTTCCAGAATTGGATCTCTTCTTCGCTTCCGTGTCTTATTCTCTACAATGGCATTGGTAGTTCCATCCAAGGCACCAGAAACTGGAACTAATTCATGACTTGAACCATTGGGCTGACTTGAAGTGTTACGTCTGGACCTCCTCGAAGGATCACCGGGCAGAGAATCCTTCTCGTTTTCTTTTTGAATTTCAACAGTAGAACCACCTTCAGAACTTAAATTCCTTGATATCTTTCTGTTCTCATTTTCTGCCACATGCCCCTCAGGAACTAATTTTTCATTTCGATGCATGACAGATTTTTGCCTATTTCGACCAGGATGCATTAACGGCTCTTCATGTTGCAGAACCACCATTTCAGATTCTCCTCGAACCTTGACTTCAGTTTTCTTTACAAAGACATTGGTAATTCCATCCAAGGCATCAGAAACTGCAACTGATTCATGCCTTGAACCAATTTGTCTCGACCTCCTTACATATTCTACAACTGGCTCACTTGAAGTGTTACGTCTGGACCTCCTCAAAGGACCACCAGGCAGAGAATCCTTCTCATTTACTGTTGGAATTTGAACAGTAGAACCACCTTCCGAACATGAACTCCTCTTTAGCTTTCTGTTCTCATTTTCTGCCACAGGCCCCTCAGGCAGTACTTTCTCTTTTATATGCATGACAGATTTTCGCCTATTACCATTTCGACCAGGTTGCATTGACGGTTCTTCAAGTTGTAGAACAATTTCAGATTCTCCCTGAACCTCGTCGACTTCAGTTTCTTCCATCGCCCACTCAGTTCGAGACCTGGTTATCCTTTTCCTTCTAACCATTTCGTTTTGACCCAATTCCCTATTCAACAGTTCACTACCCTCAACCTTCATCACGTTTTGTTTTGATCGTGTCAAGGGCTTTTCAGGTTGAGTAATTTCACTATCTACTGCAAGGCCTTTATTCTCAGAAATCTTTTTACTGCCTTTAGCATTCTTCTTCCCCTGTGTCACATTCTTCCTCAAAACCCGAAGACCTACAATCTCACCTTCTTTCTCATTCTCAACCACTACCTCCCTATTCCTCAATGATCTTCTCATTGGCACTCCAGTTTCTTCAACAGCCGCAGTTTCAGAAGCTAAATTGTCAGACAAGTCCATCACATTGCTATCAACGTCTTTCGCCTCCAAAACATCAGCACTCACACCCCTTCGTGCTCTCTTCTTCTCAATTGGAAGCATTGGAACTGGTCTTATAACTTCCCCAACCGTCTTTTGTGCCCGAGACCCCCTATTTCTGGTTGCATTATCCACAATGTTGTCATTACTATCAACATTTTCAAATACTATATCCTTGTTCTTCTCCATTACAGGTCTCCCCATAGACCTCCTCCTGGCAACAAGCCTCGCCTCCCTGGGCTCGGGGTCCAAATCCACAAATTCAATCATCTCATTCTCAGGACTAAACCTAACTTTTTTCAGTTTCCTATTTTCATCAGAATCATTTACACTAGCTATTTCGCCTATATCCTTCAAGCAAGACCTACCTCTTGTTATGGGCTTCTCTTTTTCCTGGATGTATGAAAAATTGCAAAAACTTCATAAATTTTACTTTTAACAAAAACAATTATTTGGGTATGAAAGTACATTATCTGCATATACATATATAGATATATATATTGTGTGTGCGCGCGCGTAAAAATCTAACCTTTAAAAGGGAACTGAGCTTGTTGGCCATGTCCATATTAGTTAAATTTGCAGGAATGTTGTGTTTCTTGCATAATGCTTGAAGTTCTTTTCTTTTCATGCTACGAAAATCCATCTCTATAAGAACAACAATCAAGATTAAAAAAAAAAAAAAAAAAATTTAAAAAAAAAATTGAAAATCACTACTATATATTAAAAGAAAGAAGAAAATAATAATTTAAGAAAATGAAAGAAGATTTCATAAATGGACAGTTCACATACCTGAGATGGAGAGAAGTTTCTTTCACAATAAGAACCAAATATGCCAAAATTTCAGAGAGAGAAAGCAACATTCAACTATGAAAATTCATCTCTACAAGAACAACCAAGGGGGAAAAATTGAAAATCACTCATATATATCAAAACAAAGAATAAAACAGAAATTTAAAAAAAAAAAAAAAAAATTTAAAAGAAGATTTCATAAATGGAAAGATCTCATACCTGAGATGGAGCGAAGTTTCTTTCACAGGAAAAACCAAAGAGGCGAAATTTCTAGAGAGAGAAAGTAACATTCAATTTTTGATTTTTGGGTTTTCCAGCGTCTTTTGATACTGTTTCCCTCTAAATAGTTTGGGAAATTTTGAATTTTGAATTAAACTGGTTTTCCCGCTTCTCAACGGGATTTGAGTTGTCTAAGCTCAGTCGCTCGTATATTGAGAATGTTTTGTACTCGCTATCTGAGATAATACTGGACAGGTGTCGAGAAGCGTAGAGCGCGTGTGGCCTTCTTGAAAATACTTGCGCGTGTAGAGACTTCTTGATAATACTTGCGCGTGTACAGGAAGCTTTCGCATGGATAAGACATTTTGGGCGGTGCCACGTGGGAGAGTTTCATTGGGTGATAACTGAGTCAACTTTAGATGGGGGTAATTTCCCATAATTTGGACCGTCAGCACAAAGATCCGTATTCCAACTCCCATTTCCGTCGTTGATTCAGAATCCAACGGTTGGCATGAAGAGAATAGAGTGCCCCAAGATAACCAACCAATAAAACCCCGCCACGTATTTCAAATTCTCTTTTCTTATTCTTTCATTTTTTTCTTTTTTTTCATTTTTTTTTTTTTTTTTTTCCGAAAGTTCAAATTCGTTTTTCTTTTTTCGCCTTTTTTCTGAAAGTTTTCTTTTTTCATATTCTTTTTTGAAAGTTCAAGTTTGTTTTTCGTGGCTTTCCTATTAAAGAAAATAATTGTACTACTTAAGACTTTACGAGAAAAAAATAACAATAATTTAAGGGTTGTTAGTTAAATATTCACACTATTATTATATATGGCTTCATAAGCCATAAAATATGGTAGTCTAATCCTTTTTTTCTTCCTTCCAACAAAATGAAATTTTAAATTTTAAAATTTCTTCCTAACCTTTTTAATTCAAAATCCAATTTCCACCCTAATCTAATCAAATTCAAGATTCAAGTTTCAACATGAAAATTAATGTTACAATGCCAAGATCTATTTTAGCATTAATTCCAAGTCATTTCCCAACATTTAGTGTCGAAAAGGCTAGTAAAATTTATGTACAACATTTACTCATTCCATGGATTAGTGAACTTTTCATTGGAACATGAAAAAAAAAAATGGTTGGGTACCTATCATTTAAAATTAGTAGATACAAAGAGATTAAAATGATTCGGTATGTGGCTAAATAAATAAAGTAAATATTGGAATTCGACAATTAGATATTTTAAAATGAATAATGTCAAATCTTATTCAGACATTAATCCTCATTCACATAAAACAATCAAAATTGTTCACTTATTCGAAGGTCATACTTTGGCTCCGTTTGTTTCGACGTAAAATATTCTTTTTGAAAATTTTTTTTTTTTTTAGATAAAATATTCTTTTTTTTTTCTTTTTTTTCTTTTTTTTTACTTTGTCGGTATTTGGCAAATACTTAAAGTCGAGTCCATCGGGCGGGGTATGTAAAATAACTTGTCAAAAATTGATGGATAAATTATTTTTGTTAAATTTTCATATTTTTTTCTTTGTAAATATTTTACAACAACCAAATATCAAAAAATAAAAAAATATTTTCTGAAAAATATTTTATGTCCAAACAAACGGAGTCTAAATCATTTTTCTATTTTGAGTGATGATGATCCACATAGTACTCGGAGCATAGAATAATTCAGAATATTGGGAGTCGAGAAATAGTGAAGAACATGCTATTAAATATTTAAACAAATAACTTGTCAAATATATATATATAATAGGATATGTGTATTATTATATGAAAGCTTTAGAATAAACAATTATATTTAGATTTTGCAACGACTAGGGCTCAGCAAAAAATCCTGTTAAACACTTATTATGCATTTAAATTAGTTTATTATACCACTCCGTAAGTAGATATGAAATTGGTAAAAATAGACTATTTTGAAAAATTCAATGAATTGGATCCGATCCGATCAGTTAGTTCATGGATCTAATCCGTTAGTTTACGGGTTCACGGATCTGATCTGATCCGTGGACTAACAGATTAGTGGCGAATTCAAAATCTCCCATTCTATTGCGAACGAATCGGATTAGATCCGATCTATGACCACTCTTAACTATGACACATATAAATTATTTTCAAAATAATTTATAATTAGATACAACAATAACCACCACTGGAGTGGAGTTCTGAATGCACAATGATTCTGCATGTGGCTCAATAAATAAAGTTAATATTTATGGATTTTATTGTAAATAAAGCTATTTTTGGTTTTAAAAGGTTCTCTTTACCCTTATCTTCGATTGTCACGGAATTCAAAATTCAGCTTTGGAGATTTAATCATAATTTTGCCCTCCTCCCTCAATATTCAAAGATTGTGTCCTTTCTGAAATCACAATTCAATAAACACAAAGTGTAAACCTTGTACCAGTACTACTAATGCTGCAATATCATTCATTTACAAGACTCTATAATGGCAAATTAATTTAGATCATTTTTTCAAAAGTAATTGAAGTTCATGAGTTGGACCACTTCGATTAAGTTAAAGTGAGTGATGGTTTACGCTACTGTAATGTCAACTTTTATTGAACTGTTAGCCCTCATAGACATAATCGTCGGAGTTGTTTACTTGTTCGACTGTTGAACATTAAATAATTTTTCTTTTCACTCACAAAAAACAGTCGGAGTTGTTCAGTCGAACGACTGCCAAACTCTAAATCATTTTTCTTTTCTGATTGATGATGACTCAACATGGTATATATTCGGAACAATAGAATAATAGAGCACATCCTTGGGAGAATAGTGAAGAACATGTTATTGAATATTTAGACAAATAACTTTTTAGAAAAAATATATACATATGTATCTATTAGACAAATAATTAGAGAACTGGAATATACCAAGAAACCGATTAAACATGTCAAACAATTAGATTTGGAATCTGCTACCAGGCCATTTCAATTATTTTCAAGATAATTTATAGTTATATATAACAACCACCATCACCAAATTTTTTTCGAATTACTTGGAGTCAGTATCATGAATCCCATCCTATTCCGCTCTATCTGAAGCTATAGCATCGGCCACAATCTTTAATTAGATATTTGACCAAATACAATCACTACACATACTATTGGTTCAAATATGAGCCACAACATTAACAAAATAAATAATCAAACAATGCAATACTCATATATTATCGGAGAAATTGCTCAGTGCAGTCGATATATTTTCAGATTCCATGGAATGGTAGCAAACAGTAACAATTGTTCAAACATATTATCTACATTTCAATTGCTTATTTCATACCAAAAATTATATTGCATTCCAAACATCAACAGTAACATAACAACATATCAAATTCAAGAGCAACAACAGAAGAAAGAGGAAAAATATAGAGGGAAGACTCAACAGCTTATTACACCGCTTCGTTGCATATTCATCCTTGTTCTTCATCATCACAGTTCTCACCATAAACCTCCTGGAAGCAAACCTCGCCTCCCCGGAGTCGAGTTCCGAATCCACAAATTCAATCATCTCATTCTCGGAACTGAACCTAACTTTCTTGATCTTCCTAGTTTCGTCGGAACCATTTACACCAACTTTTTTGCCTATATCTTTCAAGCAAGACCTACCGCTTGAGGGCTTTTCCTTTTCCTGGAAATATAAGAATTTCAAAAACTTAGTAAATTTTACTTTTTAACAAAAACAATTATTTGGGTATGAAAGTACATTATGTGCATATATATATATAAATCTAACCTTTACAAGGGAACTAAGCTTGTTGGCCATGTCCAAATTGGTCATATTTGCAGGAATATTGGGTTTCTTGCAAAGTGCTTGACGTTGTTTGCTTTTCATGCATAAACTAAGCTGGTTGACCATGTCCAAATTGGTTAAATTTACTTGAATTTTGTGTTGCTTGCATAGTGCTTGAAGTTCTTTTCTTTTCTTGCTATGAAAATCCATTTCTACAAGAAAAACCAAGCAAAAATAAAAATAAAAAATTATTGATATAAATCAAACAAAGAATAATAAAAGGAAAAAGAAATTTAAGAAAATTAAACAATATTTCATAAATTGAAAGATCTCATACCTGAGATGAAAAGAAATTTATTTTCAGAGTTAGAACCAAAGATGCACAGATTTAGAGAAGAGGTAATACCTAAATAATCATAAATATTTCGTTAGGCATAAGAGATAATACCTAAATAATTGTAAAATTTTATTCATTTGAGTTTGAAATAATCGTTCTCTCTATAACATCTGAAATTGATCGTGAAGCCGTGGAATATCTGTATTTAAGCCTGAACTTCAAGCCAAACCCAAAGCGAAAAAGGATTCGTGAAATATTTAGGATTAAGATAATGTATACATCTAAATTGAATTTGAATATGTTATGGTAAGTTGAAATGCTTGGAGATAGAGTTGCTTATTATTATTAAGGGGAAAAGGAACTCTTTCCTATTATTAGTATATAATATACCTATTTAGATCAATAATAGTGATATTCACGCTTCCAAAAAACTACTCTAGGGTCTCCAAACCATCCAAAGGGCGTTATAATCATTCACACTGGACCGTTTGGCATGCGTTTTATTTTAGGTGTTTTCGAAAGTACATTTGAGAACGATATTTTAGGCATTTTATTTTTAACCCATGTTACGCTACTGTTATAGTTTTGGGCCATAAACAATTGTCAAAACAATAAGAAATAACGTTTTAGTGTTTTGGTTTTGGGCCACTGTTCACGAAGTGTTTTAACACTGTGTAAAATAAAACAAGGTCTACCAAATATTATTTTGTTGCCAAAATGGACACTGTAGCAGCCCAAAAATAAAAACACCAGAAATAAAACTGGTTAGCATAAATTTAATAAGGCTCTGTTTGGTTAGATGGAAATAAGCAAGAATATAAAAGAAATAGAAAATGAGAAAAAAGTTATTTTCTAGCATGCATTTTGTTAACATAAAAATTTATTTAAGAAATTTGTAAAAAAATATTAATTTGTTATTTTGAATAGCATGAGAGTGACTAAACATACTAAAATTACCCTTATAATTTCAATACTAAAAAATAAATGAATTTGTA